CTGTCCCCCATTCAGGATTTTGCCGGGCGGTGGAGTCGCACCTGAGCCGGGACGACGCGACGCCCGCGTCGCGACGCGCATTCCCTTTTCATTTCGAGTTTTTTATTCGTCCTTGTCAAATCTCTGAGCCAGTGGCGTGGCGTGCTTTGCGATGTATCGATTGTTATGCCATTTAAACCTATGGAAAAGAATCGATATACACGGTGTTCGCAGCAAACACCTTAATAGTGGATTCTTCACCATTGGTTTAAATGGCATAACAATCGATACATCGCAATTCACGCCACGCCACTGGACTCTGAGCCGATCAGAAATTATCACGCTGTTCCTCCATTGAAACTGCGATTCAAACTTCGATTTAAAGTCTTTCGCTCGAGAAGAGCCCACGTGCTTAGAAATTAGGAACTTGAATGACCCAGATGGAGTTGGATGTCAACTTTAAAGGGATTAAAGGTAAAGTTCAAAATGTACAGTCATTTTAAAACAGCCCACGGTGTGAAATTGCGAAAAATCCTGTTTTGCCCCTGCCCCCTCTTCGAAATTTTGGCGAACCCCAAAATCACTTCACGTGCAAAAGGGGACCCAGAAAAAAAAAATATAGAAGATTTTGCCATACTCTGACACAGTGAGTCAAGTATTGTAATTAACACCATAATATACCATATTATGGTAAGTATCACCAGAGTTCTGGTGAATACTACTATAATTCTGGTTATTTTCACTAAATAGTATCACTGTTTAAAAATCGAGTAGACTTACTGTAGATGTTACCATACTTTTTTTTCAGTGGATCCATGCCAATTTCGAGTGAAAGAAAACAAATAGATTTTGAGCTACGGCTGTACAAAGAAATACAGGATGCCGGAAGGACGGACACAAATTTTATCAAGTATGGTTTTCTTGACTCCAGGCACCTTGAAACGCTTAGAAATGGTAAAATTTCAACTTTTTTTTAGGAGGGAAGGGAAGGGAGGGGTGAGAATATTTTCAGGGAGAAAGAAAGTTATACTCTGGGACTGGGTCTTAGAATGGAATCAGCTAGATTTTGGGTTGGTATAACAGTCTTAGGAACCATGGAGGAACCCCTTGATGGAGGACACAGGGCTCAAAAGGATCCCCGAAGGAAACGAATAAAGGATTTGATACACAGATGATGTGAAGTATGGCCAATTGGACTTACACTAAATACACCAGTGCTTTAAGTCTAACACTCGCCTTGATCAGGCGATTGACAGGTTTCGGCCAATCTCTCTTTCGGACTTTTAATGGTATCGCATAGAGAGGAACTTTCAAGGAACTCTCTGCAAAAGACCGACTCGCACGGATTTGTGTAGTGAAGGATTTTCCTAGACTTCGACTCGGAGCTTAAGTGCCGAACAATACTCGTCAGTCCCTTTCAAGTCCTTTGAAAAGTTCTCTGGTAGGCGGATATTAACGTCAATTTTAATTCATCGTCTTGCCGGATAGGCTAAAATGTATAATTACTTAAATTTTAATCTAGGCCTGTCAACCGTGCGACCCGCCGGTGCGTATTTTCGCCGGGAAAGCACGTGAGGATCTTTTCAAGTTGCCTCTTAATAGAAGAGCTCTTTAATAACGCCGCGGTTTGGGCGGAGCGAGAAGTGGAACTCAATTAAGCTCGCCGTTTTTCGACCTCATATTCGTCTGAATCGATTAGTGTAATTAATTCGGTTCATCTAGATTATGATGAGCCAGCTCTTAAGGAGACACCTTGGTATATACAATTTTAGTTAAGTTTAGGGTTCAGTCAGCTTTTCAATTTTTGAGAATTTATACATTTTACGATATTCTTTAAAAACTCCTAAAAGTTGTCACATTCCGGAAATATTCTACCAAATTTTTAATCACAAATGTACGTGACCGTCCCCGCGGAAGAGACCTTAATCCACAGAAACAAAATTCTTGGCCAATCAATTTTCTCGAGTTCAGTCAAAACATGAGATTTTGAGATTCCATTGAATAACATTCTCTAGTGTCCGAATGAGTAAGTTGCGAGCAGTTGAGTTCTAAAGGGCTATATTTTGTGATTAGGAACTTTAACTTCTAGCTCATTTTAGAAACAGCGTATGTGCCATAAGTCTCCCTATGCAGGTAGGTGCCTCAATGGATGAGCTTGAAATAGTAGTTCCTAATTGCAAAATGTGGTCCAAATAGAGGTCGGAAAGTTAGATTGGACTGCATTTTGTGATTAGGAACTACAATGTCTGGCTCGGTTTAGAAACAACGAGTGTAGCAGTAGTTTCCCAATGCATTTAAGAGTTTTTACAGATGAACCAGAAATTGTAGTTCGAAAAGCAAAATTTAGTCCAATTACAGTCGAACGATTTCGTGCCTGGAGCATGACAGATTAGTACTGTGAACATCAACTACGTTTTTTGGAGCATCGAAATTTTGATTGACTATTGGTTTATTTATGGGTTAAAAGTTTCTATCTTGCAAATTACTCTATACAGCTTTTACCCTCTCTGTGAATGGCAGTTCACTTTTCACGGAAGGGTGCTGAGCTGTGCGTGGAAGGATGAGGGGGTGGAAAGGCCTTTTATCTTTACTGCCCATCGTAGGTTTTCGAAGCGTTTGGGGGCGCCAGTATGCAGCTGATCACGCGAGCGCCATTTAAGTGATGGCTTGAAGATTGGAGTAAACAAAGTACACCCTCCAGCGTTGTCGCAACACGGGCAGTCATCGAACTCCCCCGCATCTTTCAATTTCGAGGAAACTCCACCCGTCGCGCTCAGTGGCGTGGCGTGAATTGCGATACATCGATTGTTATACCATTTAAACCCATGCTAAAGAATCGATGATTAAGGTGTTCGCTGCGACCACCCTGTTTATCGATCCTTTTCCATAGGTTTAAGTGGCATAACAATCGATATATCGCAAAGCACGTCACGCCGCCGGTCGCGCTGTGGCAATCATGCCACCAACACGAAGACCTTTATGAAGTTCGACTACTCTTAGTCATGCAAGCAAGCGTCGGGCTTTTTCTTCTTGTTTTCCTTTTGCAACAGAAAGACTCGCGTAATTATCGAGCGACTCAGATGATAGTCGATTAGATTGAAGCTTTAATAAATGACCACGGTGGTTCGTGCCAATTCACCTCCTTCTCCGCAACCAAATCAAACATTTTAAATTAGCACTCGTTGGGGGAGGGGGTTGTTGGATGTGCCGCAGCTTCATCTTTGAAACTTAGTAAGTTCAAGTTTGGTTTTCGGCTTCGATATGATTATCCTAAAGATACCTGGTTCCAAATTTTGGCAATATTCACGTGAAATTAAAGGCAATGGGAGTGACTATTCCACCCCCCCCCCTTAAATATCCGTTAATCTCTTAATCAGACCGCCGTATTATTGGTCATTCATCAGTTTTGCATGAGGAAAAAAACTGGTTCCAACTAGATGCTGTTCCGCCGTCAGATGTTAGTGTCTAGGCTTTTCCCCATTCGTTCGAGTTTTTATGGCATTTTCATTGTTTATCTCCATCTTGCAGTGTTCAAAAACGTCCGTGCTCTTAGAATTCTGTCGTTCGATTCACAAAACAGGGTAAAAGAGAGGAAGAAATCTAACCGTTAGGAAGATAGGAACCAGTGACAAAATAAAATAAATATTCGACTCGGATGTTTAAGAAACTGAGTGTAAAAAATTGCAAAAAAAGTTCCAGAGATAGTAGCACATAGCAATTCAATTTTCTTTCTTAAAATCTTTGATAACCCTTACTGTATCATGCAGTGAATACTAAATTCCATTAATTGGATTAGTCTCATTCTTGTTTTACCGTCACACTGTACAGACAATTTTTTCCCTTTTTTTTTATTTATTTATTTACTCATTTATTCATTCATTTATCAATTCAGATGTTTCCTCACTTCTTCCTTTTATTGAAAAATAAAAACTAGTCTTTACTTGAAAGAAGAAAAAAAAAATATTGAATCCTATGGTTATAAAAGTCAGTTATATTGTACTCATACGATCATTTTGAGGGGAAAGGAAAAAAGAGTCCTCTTTGCCTAAAAATCTTCAAGCTGTGGTTTCAGTTAAATTGAGCGGAAAATAGAGCCATCATAGACATTAGAATTCCTAGGTGCAACTTAGAAAGAATTCTTGTAACTTTTTGGATCTTTCATACGAACTCAGGCGACGAAAACTGGTAGACCATGAGGAGACTCTCTTCATGATTAAATACTTACTTAATTTTTGAGAAAATACTTTAAAAATCCTTGGAAAAGGGTTAGAAGTTTTTAGAATATGATAAACATCTAGTTTATCTTCAAGAGATGTGAAAATCAAGTATCACCAATACAGTATTCCGAAAGAGTATTATTAGATAGCAAACAAATGAGGATCATAAAAAAACTATGTAACCCTCACTCATTTTTCATTAGAGAAATCGCTGAGCCAGTTGAAATTCCTTTAAAGTAAAGAAGAAGAGAATTTTGGCGCGTATTAAATCAGAAAAAAAATTCAGTGTACGCCTTTCCCTTAAATTAAGGAAAGAATTTATTTTAATATTTTATTCAAAGTTGAGCCGTGTGATTATGGGTAGTGAGAGTCATTCGCCTCTGTCGTGATGAATTGGTAGGTGTGCGATGAGAAATGAGGTCCGAGGAGCGAAAAATTGAAATCAAATTTTGATGCCAGAAGAAAAAAAACTTCAGACGTGGAAAAAAAGTACAGCAAAAAGAAACCTGTAAAATAAATTGACTCAACCAAAGCTAGTAAATGCGTTTCAGCCCTTTCACGCGACGGTTGCGTAATATTTATTAATCCCATGGATTAAAAGCGCTCCAAGCTTTTCTACACAACTTTACGTAGGATTAAATAATCTCTGTGCGTACTACTTTCATCAGAAGTAACCAACAACGCTCAAATTATAATTCCAAGAAAATATTTTGCTTCAGGCTAATACGCAGCGCGAGCTTTCAAAAAGTATAAAACGGGAAGTTTTAAAAATCGAGCCGAATTTCAACTACAACAAAAACTCACCTGGTTGATTCAAGAAACACACGGCGACGAGGAAAATCCCGAGGATACAGGTGTAAGCACAAGAATCGGCCATAGTTGCCAGCACTGAGAGAGGACACCGAAAACACAACTAACAACTAACCGAATGGAAAACGAACGATGCAGCTACTCATTTCCGAGTGTTTTCGAGTCACGGTTCGTAGACCGCGCCACTACTCCCGCGGCTTCCACGCACTGCCACCCCCCCCNCCCTTTGCTCCCTCCTCTAAGCGCGGGAGCGTTTCTATCCCTGCCGCTTCCCCTGGCTCCTGTTTCATTCATGAAGGCATCCGCGAGCGCATCGCGGGCTGTCCGCGGGTCATTCAGCTTGTCGACTCATCCACACGCGTGTTCGGGGACCGATCAGTCGGACAAGATACTCATGCCTGACCGCTGTTTTGCCGTGCTAAGGAAAAACGCCGTATGAACCTTCAGGAGTTGCCAAATTTCTTTTGATAAAACATGACTTTCTTGGTAAACTAATAAGTATATCGATTAATATTTCTCTTCCAGTTTCTCATATAATTTTGCTCGCAATTTCACCTGAAGTGCCTGAAAATGGAGATGTTGCATGTGTGAGGAATTTGCGATCTGACTACTGATTTTGTATGTAAAAGTTCGCGAGAAACACGATGGTGCCACTGGTTTTCCCTGAAATCAACTTCCAAGCTCAAAAAAAGCTCTCAAGTTGAGGCCAAAATGGAGGGGATATCCCACGCTATCCTGAGAGTCCACCTCTACATCAAAACAAACTCTCCATGCAAAGATAGGGAACAAATAAATTGACAGGGCTGCCACTTTGTTTGGGGACTCCACAACTGAAAACACGGCAACCTTGCTAATGTATTTGCCCCCTAGAGAGTTTGTCTTGATGTAGATGTGGACTCTCAGGATAGCGTGGGATATCCCCTCCATTTTGGCCTCAACTTGAGAGCTTTTTTTGAGCTTGGGAGTTGATTTCAGAGAAAACCAGTGGCACCATCGTGTTTCTCGCGAACTTTTACAAAAGAATCGGTAGTCAAATCGCAAATTACTCACACATGCAATACCTCCATTGTGGGTATTTTTCTTTAAAATTTTCAGACAATTTTGTTCACAATTTAATCCAACATATCTGAAAATTTCTCGGAAAAATATGCATAAATTTCCTCAAAAATATACATTTGGTATTCGAAAAAATTTGGCAACTCTCGAATGTTCATACGGCGTTCTTCCTTAGCACGGCAGTGTTGTGGTTTTGGGGTGGGATGAGAAAAATTGGATTCGTGACGCAATAGAGCACTGTTTCCCCGGGAAAACTCGTTGCGTCAAGGAAGCGACTTATTACATCGAGTAAAATTTTAACAGCTCCATTGAGGAACTTGGAGGATAAGGCGCATAAGTACAGTTTTCGAAAACTGGACTTATGCGCCTTGTCCTTCAAGCCCCTCGATTGGGGTAAGCAGTGTGGCGTCATTTATTCTTCCCAACTCATTTTTGTGATTTATGGTGCGTGTTCATACACGCACGCTCACATATGTTTTTCAAAGCAACCGAAAATGAGTATACTATGTTTATTCCGTTTTTTCATTCAAGACAATTTTAGCTATAAAAAAACGAATTTCAAAATCGCCAAAAATCCAACCTCATTTTAATATGTGTGCACCAGTATGCACGAATGCGTGAATATGTCAAAGGCCATAATAAGCAATCAACGGCAAACTGTCATACACTTGTCTTAAAAGAGAAAAAAAAAAAACAATTCAGAGGTAAAACAAAATAGAAAATACTGATAATTATGCATGGAATCCAAACAGTCGATTTTCTCTCTTGGATGCATCGTACTATCTAACACATTCGCGAGTGCGTGTAGTGAAATCAGCGACTTGAGTTAGGTTTGGTTAGGTCACGCAACTCAACTAACTCTCCGGCAAAGCGGTGAGTATCAGCAGAGTTGAAGGCGCTCATGCCGAGGTCTTGCTTTTGAACTACTCTGCCATTGAAACCTTTACAATGTCGATGCAAATTTTTGAAAAGTGACGAGATTTCACTATACCAGTTGCAAACTGCCGGCGATTGTTGAACTTAACTTCCATGGTAGAATTTTTCCGAGAAAGTAGCAAAAAATAATAATAAACTCACGCCAAAATGTTAAGTGGCGTCTTCTCTTTGCGTATACTTTTTGCACCATTTGGTCTCATCACCGACATTACAAGTGTCCTGGTTATTCTTTATGATATTGTTTGAGTAAATTTCTTAAAATAATACACCAAACGCAATCGGCGTCAGAGCCAGCCGAAGTTGACCAACATTAAATGTTTTGACACCTCACTATACTACCATGCTAAGGAAGAACGCCGTAAGAACCTTCAGACGTTGCCAAATTTCCTTTGATAAAACACGAATTTCCTGGTAAACTTATGAAAATGTTCTTTCCAATTTTTCAGACAATTTTGTTTGCAACTTAATCTAAAATATCTGAAAATGTCAAGGAAATATATGCACAACTTTCTTCAAAAATACATGTTCTATTTGGGGAGATTTGGCAACTCTCGAATGTTCATGCGGCGTTCTTCCTTAGCACGGCAGTATTGTGATTAGGATAATTGTTTCCGCTAGTCCCGACGAAATAAATAATTACGAAGCAAACTGCAATATCGAGTAGTGGCGAACCAGTTATTCAGCTTCAAGAAGGCATGAATTAAAATTTCACAGTAAAACCCACGCACCGAAAACAAATACAGCGTGGTACAATAATTTCGGCCGCTTCGTAGTTCCTGTTGCATAACCGATGGAATGAAGGAGTACTCAAGCTTACGCAGGAGCTCGGAGTGGAGCGATGCCTGTCTATGCATTCGGAGACTTTTGGCCGAATCTACAGTTGTGTAGTGCTTTTTTCTATCCTCCATTCAATTTTTTATGGTTTATTCGAATGGAGTTGCCTCGGCAAATGACGCTTTTCACGGTGGATGGGCAAAACAAGGGGGAAGGATATCCTTCTAGAAATCTATTTGGCTCCCATTACAAAATGTAAGGGGTTTTCCGAAGTAACTGCGTGGCATTTCCGTCATCTCTGAGATTATATTTTAATCATTTCTTCGTTGAGCACAGCTCAAACTTAATCTGCCACGACGACGCTTCGATTTTCAGATTTTACACCCCCTATTCTCTCCGTGAGATATCTTACGCACTCTCTTCGATGAGAAAGCCTCTCGGCTGCTCTCTAGACAAAAACTTCCTAGTTCGGTCCAAGTCGCTCCCGCAAGCTTGTCGTTGAAATTCCGTTTTTGACGGTAAAAGCTGGAGAATAGTGTTGTAAAATGTTTGGTTATTGGTTGTATAAATAGACTTTTTTACTGTGGCGCGTTTATCCGGTCAGATAATACGCAAGCTCTCTGCTGAGCAAAAACTAATCGATTGTCGGGTCGAAACTTTAATCGAGCGATACAAACGACCAATAAAATAACTCTGTTTTAGCATGCTTTTAGCGCATCCACTGAAAAGCACCAAGTTCCATCAATTGGCTTGCTTAGCCAACGACACATTTTATTTAATATTTCACGTTTCCTTTCTATTCCATGGGCATTATTCCAATTAATCTTTGAGAGTGTGATTCTCATACCAAAATATGCATTTATTTTATTGTATCGTTCTATCGACAGCAATTGGTTGCAACATAATTAGAACCTAAAACAACATATTTCGATATGGTCACTGCCAAATAGCCATTTTATGGATGCAGATTTCGGTTCCGGAAAAAGATAAAAAAAAATCGCTCATAAAGTTGCAGGTGAAATCGCTCAAATGTTAATGGTACTGGCAATTTTTCCGCGATACAATGCAATAAAGTTACATTCAAGGTTTACATTTCGACGAATGGAAACCTTTCCGTTGAAAAACCCCACTTGAATATCACCCGGCGAAACCGTCCCTGGCATCGAGCTCCTGAAATTACATCTCTCGGGTGCTCTTGTGCCGAATTGGAGGCATTTACGGCACCGATTAGTAAATGTCCATGTCAAGACTAATTCGGTGAAGGATCTTTGTTTCAATTGCTCTCGATTAATGACGTCACGGTGGAGCCCTGTACGACACGCAGGGACGTTCGCAAGTCCCTGTCGGATGAGGGGTCGTAAAGCGGCACCGGCAAGCGATGAATCGATTGATCTACCATTTAAACCTATTGAGAAGTATCGATTATAAGGGTGTACTTCTACAATCGATTTTTTACCATAGCTTCATATGGATAAATATCGATAGCCAACACTACCGTGCTAAGGAAGAACGCCGTATGAACCCTCAGGCGTTGCCTAATTTCCTTCGGCAAATCACGAAATGTCCGGAAAATTTGTGACTATTTTCCCTCCGATGTTTCATGCAATTTTTTTTCGAAATTTCACCTAAAGTTCCTGAAAATTTCATGGTAAAATATGCATAGATTTCCTCAAAAATAGACATTTTATCGAAGGAAATTTGGCAAATGTTGAACGTTCATACGGCGTTTTTACTTAGCACGGCAGATCAGTTCACGCTTTCCGCCACTGCGTGCCGGAACACAGCCGTGAATCAAGGGATGCACAAACAACCTCTCGTGTTTTGTGCGTGAAAGCTCGGTCGGAGAGGAGGGAGGGCGCCGGGGGTTTCGTAAGGGCGGCGTCGCGTCCGACTGAAAAGGGTGGTATTTCGCCGCCCCAGTTTTTTTGGCGCCCGAGCGGCGCGCACGTGGCGTACCGTTCCGCCCCTCCCCCACCCGCGCGCCCCTTGCGGAGCTCTGAAACGCCCTTACTGATCGATATTCTGGTAACCGAGCCCCCCGTAACTTTAATCAAATATCGTCGAATTCACGACCGGGGAGGCCTTTCACACCGGGCGAGGGCACTTGACAGTCCGGTAGTAAGACTATCTTAATTCCCCCGTTTCACGTTTCAGCAATCGTTTTTCTATTTTGGGGGAAATGCGTGTAAATCAGGTCTACCGTTTCTCTTTCTGAGAAGAGGATACTGGATGACCGTCTTGTTCGAATTCCGCCCCTGCTGACACAGTTTTTTCAGGTTTGCCTTTTAAGGCAATTTCCTG